ACTAAACTTGTTAAAAACAAAAGAAATCAGAAGAGGGGTTATCCCTGGAAGAGGGAGAGTTCTGGCCGAAAAGGGACACGGAATAACTTTCTGCTGAGATTAAGAACCTTCTGTGCTTCAACTGAGATGCGGGCAACACGGTGTGTATGTTTGTGTGGCGTCTGCACACATGCAGGAACAGGGCAGTGAGTGGGTGTTGTGCCCGCCACGCTCCCCTTATTCCCCAGGACAGGATCACTCCCTGAGCCTAGGGTGAGCTGGCAGAGACCCCTGTCTCCACCCACTCACACCCCCAGTGCCAGGGACTACAGGCCCATGGGAGGCCGCTCCCAGCTCTTTTTGCATGGGTATTGGGGATTTGGACCCAGGTCTTCATGCCTGAGCTATCTCCCCAGCCCTGAACTGAGCTCCTTAGCCATTTGGGTTTTCTTTCAGTCTGAGGTCAGTGTCTGGGTTCTTTTTGGTTTGGTTTGGTTTGGTTTAGTTTGGTTTGGTTTGGTTTGGTTTGGTTTGGTTTGGTTTTTGGTGTTTGTTGTTGTGGTTGGTTGGTTGGTTGGTTAGTTGGTTGGTTTTGGTTTTTTTTGAGACATGGTTACTCTTGTGGCCCTGGCTGTCCTGGAACTCGTTCTGTAGACCAGGCTGGCCCTGAACTTAGAGATCCACCTGCCTCTGCCTCCCCAGTGCTGCTGCTGCCACCACCACCCAGCCTCAGTGTCTGTTTTTAATATGTGCTATCAAGCAGTCATTGACTTTCGTTGTGTCTTAAGGGATGTGTGATCACCTGGCAGGAAGATAAGAACTGGAGTTGTAGCCTTGCTGCTTGCCTAGGAGGTCCGGGGCTCCGTGACCTATTCTGATGAGAGGGCGGTGGTCAGGAGCCAGAGAGCCTTGGCATGTGTCAGCAGGAAAACATGTGAAATCTCTAGCTTGCTCAGTTTTGTTGTCAACCTAAAACTGCTGGGAAAGGTACAGTTGTTTTTTGTTTGTTTGTTTTTAATGTACCTTGAAATCCTTAATTTACGTTCAGAAGTATTTGCCCTTTATCTGTTCTTTTTCTGTTGAATTCCCATACACATTTTCTTATATCAAAAAGGTGAACACGTGGATCCAGGCCAGAAGGCACACATACCTGCATCGGGGAAGGGACAGCAGGACAGACAGGCTCCATTTCGGTTTCATCAAAACCTTTCACAGACTTTGGAATTTGGGTGTTGACGCCCCTCCTTGCAGCCACACTTAGAGCTGCTTGGATTAAATCCACCCTCGGTCCTGAGTAGAATTTAGAACACTTTAGTCAAATAATAATAAATAACAGTCTATCCTTATGTAAATAATTGCTTTATAAATGTCTGTGCCTGAAGATTACTTTGAGGGAATGTTTGAAGTTCATCCTACTTCAAAGGCAGTTGAAATACTTTTTTTTTTTTTAATGGGTGGGGTCACATGCCACAGCACTCTTGTAGAGGTCAGAGGAGAACTTAGAGGAGTCAGCTCTTCTACCACATAGATCCCGATGATCAACTTGAGGTCAGTAACCTTGGCAACAGGTACCTCTACCGTTAAGCTGTGTTGCCTGCCAAGTGGTTAGTTTTGTGCTGCGTTGTTTTGAAACAGAGCCTCATGTGGCGCCGCTGGCCCCAAACTTGATATTTGGCTGGAAATGACCTTGAACTTCTGACCCACCACCTTCACCTCCCTAGTACTGGGATTGTAGACATGCACCACCACACCCAGTTTTATGCTGTGCTGGGGATGGAACCTGGGGCTTCAAGGCTTGCTAGGCAAGCACTCTGTCAACTTAGCTATCCTAGACTAAGTCTTCAGCTTTAGATTTGGAACTGGTTCTTATCCAAAGAATGTAGTGGCTGACATCTGCTCAAGACTTGTCTATATCTCCACACTCCTGTATCCCTGCACACATTACACCAGGAAGGTGGAAAAGAAAATGACTTTATTTCTTTGGGGTCAGGTGACTAGTTGAAACAAAGACTTCCTATGTGGCCTGGCCTGGCTTGAAACTCAGCTCTCGTGCTTAGTCTGAGTGCCTGGCTCCTTTGAAGTCTGTGATAACACAGTTGGGACTTGGGAGACTAAGTATGGCAGGCTGCAAGGTTATTCTGTGATGTTATTTTTAAGCTTTCTGTAGTGGTGTGTTTCCTCTAGGCCGTGAGGCTAAAATAAATGAGTAATAGGTAGCTAGTGTATTCTGTCTGTTGGTAACACCTCTGTCATCGAGTCTGTCCAGCAAGCCAATGATTTTCCTTTTCTCTGAAATTAAAGACCAACGTGTTCTCTGACAGTGTAGGAGTTTCTGCTCAGCTGAAGTTGATATTGATTTTTATCTTTGTTACTAAATTTCTTTAAAGCTCAAACCCAAGATCACGGCCAGCTCCCCATGTACTTTTTTTTTAGCTGCAAAAAATTACTAAAATACTACAGCTGGTCGTTGACAAGTTTGGCCTTCAAATTTTACCCTGAAATGTAATGTTAGTGGCAGCATCCTCGGCCCTTGTCGGTGGCCAGCCTCTGGGGGACCCCCAGGAAGCACTGCCTCCTGATACTCGGGCCCTGCATGCTCCCAGCCAAGGTTTAGCTGCACACCAGGGGCCTTGGTCTTGATCGCCTGCATGCTGCGCCCTGGCAAGCTGGCGCTGAAGCCGTGGCACCAGGCAGTCAGACCCTCATGAGATCCCGATCCAGAACTGCCCAGCTAGCCCCTCCGCCGAGATTCCTGACCATCAGATGCCACCTGAGATAAACTGAGCATTACCTAAGCTGCTGTTATGGGGGGCTGCTTGTTATGCATTACACACCCCCCATAAAAGTCAACTTTCATATTTAAATTTCAGCATTTGGTTTTGCTTGTTACTGTTACTTTAGTTAAATGTGTAGCCCATTAATTGGTTGAAAAATCTATTTCTCCCATCTTCCAGGTGTTTAGTATCATAAATACAGCCTTGGAGCTGACCTTTTCTGTGTCTGGCTCTGTGGTAGAATTGCTGGGTGACTAGAGCCTTTGAGGAGTCAATCCACAGCTCCTCATTTTCAGGTGAAGCCGTCTGTTGGTGTGGGTTGTAATTACTGTGCAGGTGCCTATGGAATCATTCTGAAGGCCTTAGAGACAGCAGACGGACAGCTTAACAACTGTGCTCAAGCTGAGGCCTCAGCCAAGAAGCTCCTACTCTGATGCCTACCAATCACACAGGATAATCACCATGTGGGTTTTTAAAGTCCCATTTTTAGGGTTGGCTAACTATACGCTCAGACCTGACAGGCAGCTTCCCAGCAGAGCTGAGCACCACCACCAGTTGTACTGTGCCACAGTCAAAATCCCAGCTGCCGCTCGCCCATCCTGTTTCTCCATGATGGTTTGAAAAGAAAAGGCATTAAAATAAAACTTACTCTGTTTCTTTTGTGCTATAAAACCAGGCTCTTACAAGAAGTGTGAGGAGGGCGGGAGCTATAGGAGATTCCAGAAAAGAAAAGAGTGGGGAGGACTTTACTTTTAGGCCAGGTGTGGTGGTGGCTCATGCTTGTAAATCCAGCCAAAATTCAAGGCCAGCCTCCTCCCCCCGACAGGGACCTGTATACACCAGTGCACACAGGGATTTTTAAAAAGAAAGAATATTTGCAATTTAAATCAATTTGTTTCTAGTGTGTGTATGTCATTGAACTACTCCAGTCCTGTGTTGACAGGATGGCTATGGCTATAGTCAAACCAGAAGTAAAACAGGAGCTTGTTTGTTTTGAGACGGGGTCTTAAACTGACCTCAAGTTCAGATCTCCCCATCTCAGCGTCTCAGATGCAGGGATTGTGGGCTTGTGCCACCATGTCCAGCATCAGCGTTTTCTTAATAACTTGGTTGTCGTTGCTTTTACTTGTTAGTTGTTTCTGAGGCCGGGTTTCAGGCTGGCTCAGCCTGGCCTCAAGCTCAAAGAGACCTGCCTTTGCCTCCTAAATACTGGAGTTAAAATCATGTGCCACCATGCCCAGCCCATGTAGAAACTGCTAATGCCACTCTGTTTGCCTATGTAGAATGCTTCTTGCTCATTCCGTGTGGTTCCTAAAGGTCTCCTGAGCAGATATAAGATAAGAAGGAAGCTTTGAAGTATTTTTCCAAACATTTGTTGATCCTTAGATGTCTGGTTGCCAAGGGGACTTGAAGAAGACTAAAGAAGGTAGAGGCTGAAAAGGAGGTAGAAGCCGGGCAGTAGTGGTGCACGCCTTTAATGATAGCACTTGGGAGGCAGAGGCAGGCAAAGCTCTGTGAGTTCAAGGCCAGCCTGTTCTACAGAGTGAGTTCCAGGACAGCCAGGGCAACACAGAGAAACTCTGTCTTAAAAGAAGTAGAATTTGGCAGCAGGTAGAAGGGCCGTGGTTGTGTGTGCCTCCCCCTCTTGACCATCAACAGTGGAGTCAAGTTCTCTCTTCTAAGATCACAAGGAGTCCTGGATTCTCCTCTGCCCATACTGGCATTGTTCACATACCTGCTGGCACCTTGTTTGTCTCTAAGTATATAAACTGATAAAGCCATCACACTTAACGCTTTAGAAATGCAAATGCCTTAACAGAAGGAAGATAAGGTAAACCTGAAGGCAACACAGGTAAACATATTCAGAGACAGTGAGCCTGCAGCTTCAAGACAGGGACTTTGGAACCAGGCTAGCTGGGTTTAAGTCCCAGTTCTGACAGTGGGCTAGCTGAGTAACTAGCCCATTTTCAGTGGTTTCTTCATTTGCACTACTTTATGGCACTATAAAAGTACAGAAGTTAATGTAGCCATACCTGCTTTGGACAATGTCTAATGCTGGGTCAGCTCCCTATAATCCTTTGCTTCTTCGTATCTTCACACTGTTCCACTTTCTGTTGTTGTCTGTGTCTGCCTGATTTGTAGTCGGCTTTTCACTGACGCTACCACCTTTGCTGTGTAACTTCTGCTCTACCACATTCCTCACTTTAACGGTTCTATTTTGTTCCTTTGCTGTTTTCTTGTTCTCAGGCTCAACACAGAGATACTTTCATCGAAGAACGCTATGGGAAATACAACATCAGTGACCCTCTGATGGCTCTTCAGAGAGACTTTGAAACACTAAAGGAGAAGAATGATAGCGAGAAGCAGCCAGTGTGCACAAACCCCCTCTCCATTCTCAAGGTGGTGATGAAACAGTGCAAGAACATGCAGGAGCGCATGCTGTCCCAGCTGGCAGCTGCCGAGAGCAGGCACCGCAAGGTAGGCCCGCACATGGGCAACTGTGTGCTAAGGAAATGCTCAGAGGGCAGAATGCGTCCTGTCCTGCCAGCCACCAGTGTTCTGAGGAATCTGAGGGGACGGGTGAGCTGGTGGGTATGGAAAGGCCCTTCAGTAACCCAGAAGTCAGGAGAGCACAAAGGAAATACAGATTATTGTACATCACTCAGAGCACTTGGCTCATTTTTTTTTTTCTCCAGTTCTCAAGTCTTCCAAACTTCAGCAACAAGCTAGAGTCTAAGCAAGCCTGTAGCTGAACAGAGTGTTCTCTGTTTGCTTATTTAAGTGATAAATAAAAAGATTAGCAGGTATTTAGGGAAGAGAGAGTATAAATCCACCTGATTATAACCATGCATGCAAGCATGGAGATTGTTTTCATTCATTCTTGTTTGGTGTTTCATTGCGCGCTCGGGAGGCCATAAACATCTTCCTGGGATGCCTTGCTTTTAAGTTTTTCTGTACTGGATTGGGGTCGGGGGCAGCCACTCTGGTTCTGTCGGATACTTCTGAGTAGGATGGACAAGCCTGTGCTCCAGTGGGCATACATTCAACCCCCAGCTTGTCATGGCCACCCAGTTCTGGCCTGCACACCGCATTTTGCAAGAATCTGCATTTTTTAAAAAACTATCAGTTTAAGTTTGGACCTACCAGATAGGCATCAACAGTGGTTTGTAGGAGACGTTTTAATCAGAAAAGCGAGCTCAGCAAACTTAGTAGACTCTAGTCTGTTCTCAAGGTTATGTCCAGCGAGCTGGGCCTTCCTGCCTGTCTTTGTTTCTCTTCACTGAGTCTAGAGGATGGGTCCTTAGCTATGGGGAGGTCACAGATGTTCCACAAGGCCTCTGAAATATAAAAAATAGCACGCATTTTTATGAAAAGTGTATTTTTTTTCCTACTAGGTGTCGTGCCTTAGGTATCACGTAAAGTGTAGTATTGATTGCCAGTCTAGGTGACCAGAGAGAGGAGAAAGTTAAAAATAATTGAAAACCCCTTAACGTACTCTTGTTTCAATGTAAAATGTTTTAAGTAGCATTAAATTTTTGAAACCAAGTAATTCACCTGTTTTGTTTGCTTGGTTTTTTTTTTGTTTTGTTTTGTTTTTTTTGCGACAGGGTCTCATGTAGCCCAGGCTGTTCTTAGGCTCTCACTGTTTCACAAGGATGACCTTTGCTGTGTGGGAAGCTGTGAGCTACCATCCCCAACAAAGTACCTGTCTGCCCTTGGGTGTGTTACCCAAGCAGGGCACTAAGTTTGCAAGTAATCAGTTAGTACTTAGAGGTTTATAATTAGAGTTTATAATTGCCAGAATTTGCTGAAGATTCCCAGGGTCTGCCCTTCACTGTGGTATGGCTCATGACCAAAACCCATTTCACCTCTCAGATGGATTAGGATCTGAAGAGCAGATCGGGTCATGCTGCTTGCAATGGAAGGAGAGTTTTTCGGTCCCATTCTTCCCCTTGCCCATGCCCCCAGGACTCACAGGTAGCTTTATCTTTGTTGTTTTGAAACATGGATTCTTGTGGCCCGGCCTAGGCTTGAACTCACTATGTTGCTGAAGGTGACCTTTTGACTCACCCTCCTGAGCACTGGAATTGCGGATCTGTGCTTCCCTTACCCAGCTTAAGGAAGCATCTTTATCTCACCTGAAAACTAAGACTCTGACCGAGTCTCCCTGAAGCCCCTGCCACTTCCAGCTTCTAGCTCTTGAGGAGCCTGCAGGGTGAGATGGCTCATTCTCCCGTACCCGAGCGCTGCCTGTGCTCACGCTCTTCTCCCTCTTCCAAGTGCTCTTACAACTTCCAGAGCCTGGAGAGACATCTGAGGAGTGAAGAGCGCCAGTGGCTAACACGCCCGTATCAGGCAGCTCACAACCACCCGTGACTGCAGCTGTGTAGAAGCCAGTGCCCCTGGCCTCTGTGTGCAACCACACTCATGTTCACGCATTCACACACCTTCTCGCACACAGAGAGAAAACAAATCTTTTAAAAAACTTTCTCCCCTACTAAAGTCTCTGGTCTCTGAGACTTAATAGTCTTTTCATTCCTTTCTGTACTTTTAAAGGACTCTCAAAGGAGAAGATAGGTAAAACATGGCCGCCTTTCTAGTCGATTGTTAAGCTCAAAAGGAAGTACACTCATACATTTTCATTTTCTTGGGGCTTTGTTTTGTTTTGGTTTTGGTGTTTGTTTGTTTTTGAGGCTGGATCTCCCTGTGTAGCTTGGAACTCACTGTGTAGACCAGGCTGACTTCACAGTCAGCAAGCTCATCCTGCCTCTGCCTTCTGAATGCTGAGATTATAGGCATGTGTCACCATGCTTGGTTTTTGTTTTTTCTTTTTTTTTTTTTTTTTTTTTTTTTTTTGGTTTTTTGTTTTTGTTGTTGTTTTCATTTTAAATTTTAAAGTAGGGTTCCGTGTCAAAAAATTTTGTCTTCATTCCTAAACATTTTTATAAGACAAAACCATGAGAAGTGGCTATCAAGGTAGCAGACAGTGCCTCGCCAAGAGGTCTAAGCTGAGCCACCTCTGAAACAGAAGCTGCTGAGTAATGCATTCTCGTGTAGGATATTGTCCGGCGTGGGCAGAATTGCACGGGAAATGTCCATTTACGCTGTGTTTTTCTTGAAGCTGGTTTGGATCCTTGAGCACCAGGATAAACAAGCAAGTCGTTAAGAGTCTGTGAAAAGTCACCAGTTAGGATCCCAATAACTGAGGCTTTTGCACATAGCATGAAATAGGAGTCTTTCTCATCTTACCTGAGTGTACAACAATATGGATTCTTAGTCAAGCAGGGCACAGGGTGCCTCGGTTGATTTGATGTTTAATTTCATCTGCCATTTTGGAGCCTCCAGTGGCAGCATTCATAGGGGCACCTCAGCCATGTGTGGTACCAATCCCGTCCCCCACCTCCACCCCCACCCCGACTCCCAGGCCTGTAGTCAGACCAAACTGCATGCGATTTCCCAGACTTCAGCTCCCCTCAAACCTTCTCAACCCCCGAGGCTAATTAGTTCCTCTCTTGTCTCTGTTTGCATTCCTCTGCACATACTTCAGAAAAGTAAATATCTTGTTTTCTAGCACATAACTTAGATGTCTTTCACCCTGCTAGATGGCGTGCTCCCTGACGCCCCCGGCTGGATTTCATTTGTTTGTTTATTTAACCTGGAGCTCTCGGGTGTTGAGTGGCGTAAGTGAGATTACTTGATGTTTGGAAGTAAATGCTTTCGAATCCTTTCCAGGTGATCCTTGACCTGGAAGAGGAAAGACAGAGGCATGCGCAGGACACCGCCGAAGGAGATGACGTCACCTACATGCTGGAGAAGGAGAGGGAGAGACTGACCCAACAGGTGACTCGGGAAGAGGGAGCGTGGTGGCACTTGAGTGGAGCGACGGGTTTTAGTTCACTTTCAGTGTGCAGAATTACATGTAAAGTCTTTAAGAGCAGCCCGTGTTCATCACGTCTATTGCCAGCTCTTTTTTTAAACACAGTGCTTGGGGCTGGAGAGGTGGTCCAGGGGTCAAGGGCATGCACTGATTTTGCAGAGGGGTCACATTTGGTTCCCACGTCCACATCAGGTGGCTCATACCTGCCTGTAACCCAAACCTCTCCCCTTGTCTGCAGTAACACCCGCACTCACCTACACATACCCCCACAAGTACATATAATTTTAAAGTTAAAACAAACATAGACCGTTCAGTGGAACTGGCATTCATAGCACATACTTCAGAGGTCTCTGATGTTCAAGCTCTTCTGTTGTTGCGTGACCTCCAGTAACAACATGGCCTGTCATAATCCAACATGCCTGAAGCAAAGATGACAGGATATGAAACAACGCTTTATCCCTAGAGTATGAATTTTGTTCTCAGTCTCACTATGTAGATCAGGCTAGCCTTGAACCTTTTGAAAGAATTTTTTTTAATATGATTATGGCTCACGGAGTTGGTTTTTCCATCTAGTAATACATCTCATTTTGGAAATTCCTGAGTAGAAGGGTTCACTCGTCCTGTTCCCTCTCATTCAGAGTCTGTGTGATAATGCTACACAGTCATACAACTACATTTGTGTAGCTGCAAGGATGGTGGCGCATGCCTCTCCTAGCGTTTGGAAGGAAGAGTTCAAGTTCAGATCAAGTCTCGGAGTAAGATCTTGTCTAATGCAAACAACGGCAGAAGTGGGATTTAAGTACAACTATTTATGCATGTTCGGTTTTTTTTTTTAAGATCAGAGAACGTGATTGCTGGAACTTTTAAGGTTGATTTTCAATAGCATCTATGCCCAGATCTAGCTTCCGCAGTGTTCTGTTAATTGTTTTGGCTGATTCTACGTCCTCTCCACACACCTAAAACACAGCGGTGCTTTATATTCCCACTGTCCACCCAGAGGCAGTTAGGAGCTCAAACACCTCCCAGATCATCATGAAAAGATTAAATCGTAGTGTGTGGGGTGTTCTCGTAACTTCAAAAGTACTAACTAGCCCAAGCACCACGAAATACATGCTAATACCATGCACCAGAAAGCAGCCAGCATGGGCACTCTACATGATCATAATTTTTGTCTTCCTACTCTAATCAAGATGTATGGTGACAGCTTTTTTTTTTTCCCTAGTTGGAATTTGAAAAATCACAGGTGAAAAAGTTCGAGAAAGAACAAAAGAAGCTGTGTAGTCAGTTGGAAGAGGAGCGCTCCCGCCACAAGCAGCTCTCGTCCATGCTGGTGCTTGAGTGCAAGAAGGCCACCAGCAAGGCAGCCGAGGAAGGGCAGAAGGCAGGAGAGCTGAGCCTCAAACTGGAGAAGGAGAAGAGCCGGGCGAGCAAGCTGGAGGAAGAGCTGGCCGCCGAGAGGAAGCGGGGTCTGCAGACGGAGGCCCAGGTGGAGAAGCAGTTGTCTGAGTTTGATATAGAGAGGGAGCAGCTGAGAGCGAAACTGAACCGAGAGGAGAACCGGACCAGAGCCCTGAAGGAGGAGATGGAAAGCTTGAAGAAGCTGGTGAGAGACCTGGAGGCAGCGCAGCGGCGCAGCAGCCCCGGGGAGCAGTGCAAGGAGCCAGTGAGCACGTTCAGAGGCACCGCCACAGAGCCCCCCATGCGAGTGTCTGTGTCCTGCCAGACAGAGAGCATTCAGATAGAAAGAAGCCACGGGAGCGTCATAGCCAAGCTGACAGACACTGGTCTCCCGGGTCCCACCACTCCTACTTACTCCTATGCAAAAGCTAATGGCCACTGTGACCCGGAAATACAAACTACCAGGGACTTGACCTCAGGCAGCAGCACAGAAAACCAAGGGCCTCCACGAGAGAAATCTGTGCTGTCGTCCCAGGAGAAACCAGTGGAGAATGGTGGGTGTCCTGTAGGGACTGAGACTCCAGCCACAATAGCCAGTCACCTCCCTTCCAGTGGCAGCTCGCTGTCTCCCAGCAGTACTGCCTCCTCCTCTCTGACGTCATCTCCCTGCTCTTCACCAGTCCTAACCAAGCGTCTCTTGGGGTCGTCAGTCAGCAGCCCCGGCTACCAGTCTTCCTACCAAGTAGGGATCAACCAGCGGTTCCACGCAGCTCGGCACAAATTTCAGTCCCAAGCTGATCAAGATCAGCAAGCTAGTGGTCTCCAGAGCCCTCCGTCCAGGGACCTGTCCCCTACCCTGTTAGACAACTCTGCTGCCAAGCAGCTGGCCCGAAACACGGTCACTCAGGTGCTCTCCAGATTCACTAACCAAGGGCCAATCAAGCCAGTCTCTCCCAACAGCTCTCCCTTCGGGACAGACTACCGAAATCTGGCCAGTACTGCCAACCCACGAAGTGACACCAGCCATTCACCAACGCCAGGGAAAGTGTCCAGCCCTCTGAGCCCCCTCTCTCCGGGAATCAAGTCCCCAACCATCCCCAGAGCCGAGAGGGGAAACCCACCACCGATCCCACCCAAAAAGCCTGGCCTCACCCCTTCCCAGTCTGCTGCCACTCCAGTGACCAAGTCTCATTCCCAGGCATCCTCCCTGAGCACCGCGGAAGACCTCGCCAGCAGCTGCTCCCCAAGCGCTGCGGTGGCTAACGGCAAAGATGTTGAGATACTTTTGCCTACCAGCAGCTAGTCCCTAAGAACGGGACTCCACGTTTGACATTCCACCAGATTCCGTCCAAGAGCTCAGAGTTAAACCTTGGGGCCAGATCATGTTATTTATTTTGATAGTAGTGACAGCCATCTGTATGATACATTCAGTGTATTTACCTTTTTGTATTTTTTTTTTTTTTTTTTT